CTGTGTACAAGTTAGTACAGAATTATAGCAAAAGGAAAATACGAAAGGAATATTTTTTCCCCCACAATTTTCCCCCAGTAACAGGTGACGGGGCTAAGAAAAAGTAATTCTTCCGACATTCAAAAACCGTTTGGTAAACATCCATATATTTTTTATAAAATTTTATAGTGGGTGCATGTATCATGTTTTTGGTTACAAATGTGTTTCTTATATAATTTTGAAAAAAATATCATAGATAATTAAAAGGGGGAAACTAAAAACGAATATCGACATTAATCGTCCAAAAAGGGTTATTATTATATTTTTTTATTATTATTATTATTTTTATTATTATTTTTATTATTATTGCATCAAGAGTAGAGAGACCTTAGTATTTTTTAAAGTGACCTACATGCCGCACAGTGGGGAAAGTTTATTTAGGGACAGGTACACAAGTTTTAAATTTTCAAGTACAATACATAAAAATATACAAAACTTTAAAAAAAAATTGAAATTTTGGGAAAGTTTCCGACAAATAAGGGATGGCTCAGGGAGAAAGTAAACAAACTCAGTGGGCCGCTGTGCCGTTTAGAAAGACAGGGGGGGGGAGCCGATAGCGAGTTTGGGCAAATTGAAATGTCCGTATTGGAACGCCGTAAAGCGAAAATGCCGTAAAGCGGGGGCCATGCGAAGCTTTAAATTTAAAAACTTATCAAAACATCCCCAAACCCAAAATATATTTATATATATATATATATATATATTATATAAAATATATTATATATATTAATTTTAAATATGCAATAAAACACAGTAAACAGGTGATTTCAGAAAAATGCAAACAACCACCTCAAAGAAAAGAAAATTTCCCAAAGGGTTCGTGACTACTCACATTAACAAGGATAAGGAGTATCACAAAAGCACGGAATTTTTCTATTCTTTTAAGTGGTTTTTTTGCACTATATCAAAATATTTATCCTTATTTTTTAACACACTGGGCCCAAACCCCCCAAAGGGAGGGGGGCCCAAAAAAGAAAAAAATTTCACCATCATTTCACTCCCCCACTTCTTGCCAGAAGGGGCTTTTCACTACAGTTTTAAACTGCAAAATTTAAAACCCCCCCCTTTAGAGTGCAGGCACTGTACTTCCCCCTCCCAGGGCTCAAGTCCGGGGCCCGCCTTTCCCTGAACACCTTTATGAATGTAACTTTTTACACCCAACAGCACGTCAAGTATTAAAACCATTTGTCTCCATTCACTCCTATCAAAAACCTCACGATGTCTGTGGGGGTCCAAGCCCCTCACACACAAAACCCCCTTTAACCCCCCCCCTCCAACCTTTTCCCACTGACCCCCCCCCCACCTTCCTTCCATACAGACTAAACCTTGAAGTAACTCGTTTCGCTCCATTCTCTCTACATTCCGAACCCCCCACAACAACCCTTCCTCACCCCCCCGGGGAAAAAGTTTTGGTAATCCCGCACCCACCCTAACTTCGACAAAATTCTCTGCATTATATTCACAAACCCCAAAATTGCCCCAGGCTGACTCTCCACTGCCTCAACCTTCCCTCGCTGCAACATTCATCACCCATGCTTCACACCCAAAAAAGAGCGTTGGTAAAAACTATACCCATACATTCCCCCTTTGCCTCCAAGGACAAAGTTCTTTGCTCCACAGACTCCTAAAGCACCACCCCCCTTTTTTTTTCCCGATCAATTCATGATTCACTTCATCTTTCATAACCCATCCGCTGAAAACGTCCCCCCTCCAAAAATCGAATACATTTTACCTCCTCCATACTCTCTCCCTCCAAGATACCAACTTTCATCCCAATCTTTTTTTACCTCTAAACCTTACTCTTTGGGGCCAAATTTTTCTTTTTGCACACCCTAAAATTCACCCACCATCTCTAAACTTCTCTTCAGAATCTCCCCCAAGTCACATGTCACACAAAGAGCAACTGTGACAACTCGCACTTTTATGTGTGATTCTTTACTTTTAACCCACACCTCTTTCCAAGACCCTCGAATTTATTCTCTTAAAACCCCCCCTCATAAAAAATTAAACAACCCGGTGACACACAATCCTTGTCAAAAGGGCCCACTTTTTCTAGGGAAATAATTTCCCTCTTTTCTACATACTCAACTTTAGCCCAAATCCCATAAAAAATTTTTCTGCTTTTAGTAACCTACCTCCTACACCATACACCTGCAACATCTGCCACACTGCCCCTATCCCCCTGTCATACGCCTTTTCCAAATCCATAAATGCCACAAAGACCTCTTTAGCCTTATCTAAATACTGTTCACTTATATGTTTCACTGTAAACACCTGGTACAACACACCCCCTACCTTTCCTAAAGCCTCCTTGTTCAAATATATATATATATTATATATATATATATATATATAATTTTTTTTTTTTTTTTTTTTTTTTTTTTTTTTTTCAACAAGTCGGCCCGTCTCCCACCGAGGCAGGGTGACCCAAAAAGAAAGAAAACAATTTTCTTCTTATTCTTTTTTAGTAATCTTTACAGGAAAAGGGGTTACTAGCCCATTGTTCCCGGCATTTTAGTTGACTTTTACAACACGCATGGCTTACGGAGGAAAGATTCTTATTTCCACTTCCCATGGATATAAAGGAAAAGTAATAAAGACCAAGAACTATTAAGATAAAATCAAAGAAAACTCAGATGAGTGTGTATAAATAAATGTGTACATGTATGTGTAGTGTGACCTAAGTGTAAGTAGAAGTAGCAAGACATGCCTGTAATCTTGCATATTTATGAGACAGACAAAAGACATCAGCAATCCTACCATCATGTAAAACAATTACAGGCTTTCGTTTTACACTCACTTGGCAGGACGGTAGTACCTCCCTGGATGGTTGCTGTCTACCAACCTACTACCTACCATATATATATATATATATATGAAAATAAGAAAAAATTTTGGAGTGAGTTAAACAAGTTAAGAAAGCCTAGGGAAAATATGGATTTGTGAGTTAAAAACAGAGTAGGGGAGTTAGTAGATGGGGAGATGGAGGTATTGGGTAGATGGCGAGAATATTTTGAGGAACTTTTAAATGTTAAGGAAGAAACAGAGGCAGTAATTTCATGCACTGGTCAGGGAGGTATACCATCTTTTAGGAGTGAAGAAGAGCAGAATGTAAGTGTGGGGGAGGTACGTGAGGCATTACGTAAAATGAAAGGGGGTAAAGCAGCTGGAACTGATGGGATCATGACAGAAATGTTAAAAGCAGGGGGGGATATAGTGTTGGAGTGGTTGGTACTTTTGTTTAATAAATGTATGAAAGAGGGGAAGGTACCTAGCGATTGGGGGAGAGCATGTATAGTCCCTTTATATAAAGGGAAGGGGGACAAAAGAGATTGTAAAAATTATAGAGGAATAAGTTTATTGAGTATACCAGGAAAAGTGTACGGTAGGGTTATAATTGAAAGAATTAGAGGTAAGACAGAATGTAGGATTGCGGATGAGCAAGGTGGTTTCAGAGTGCTTAGGGGATGTGTAGACCAAGTGTTTACATTGAAGCATACATGTGAACAGTATTTAGATAAAGATAGGGAAGTTTTTATTGCATTTATGGATTTAGAAAAGGCATATGATAGAGTGGATAGGGGAGCAATGTGGCAGATGTTGCAAGTATATGGAATAGGTGGTAAGTTACTAAATGCTGTAAAGAGTTTTTATGAGTATAGTCAGGCTCAGGTTATGGTGTGTAGAAGAGAGGGAGACTACTTCCCGGTAAAAGTAGGTCTTAATAGACAGGGATGTGTAATGTCACCATGGTTGTTTAATATATTTATAGGTGGGGTCGTAAAAGAAGTAAATGCTAGGGTGTTCGGGAGAGGGGTGGGATTAAATTATGGGGAATCAAATACAAAATGGGAATTGACACAGTTACTTTTTGCTGATGATACTGTGCTTATGGGAGATTCTAAAGAAAAATTGCAAAGGTTAGTGGATGAGTTTGGGAGTGTGTTTAAAGGTAGAAAGTTGAAAGTGAACATAGAGAAGAGTAAGGTGATGAGGGTATCAAATGATTTAGATAAAGAAAAATTGGATATCAAATTGGGGAGAAGTATGGAAGAAGTGAATGTTTTCAGATACTTGGGAGTTGACGTGTCAGCGGATGGATTTATGAAGGATGAGGTTAATCATAGAATTGATGAGAGAAAAAAGGTGAGTGGTGCGTTGAGGTATATGTGGAGTCAAAAAACATTATCTATGGAGGCAAAGAAGGGAATGTATTAAAGTATAGTAGTACCAACACTCTTATATGGGTGTGAAGCTTGTGTGGTAAATGCAGCAGCGAGGAGACGGTTGGAGGCAGTGGAGATGTCCTGTCTAAGGGCAATGTGTGGTGTAAATATTATGCAGAAAATTCGGAGTGTGGAAATTAGGAGAAGGTGTGGAGTTAATAAAAGCATTAGTCAGAGGGCAGAAGAGGGGTTGTTTAGGTGGTTTGGTCATTTAGAAAGAATGGATAAAAGTAGAATGACATGTCTCCAGGCCTATATGATATTACTCTTGCTCTCTATTTTGAATTTTTATTCAAACAAAAAATAGATTTACTGTTATGCAGACTACTGCAATATTGTAATAATTGTATATATAACATCAACCCATTCATGACTGCATATCAGAATACTAGTTGGACATTTATTGTACAATGACGTCATCTGTTTACTCTTGAACATTGGCAAAAAGCACACATGTCCCTTAATTTGAGCTCCATTTCAAGGTCCTTTTCATAGCAAAACCAATCAAAATCTCCTCCATTTCTATAATATGTTTTCCATTCTATCAAATATGACTATGAAAATGAGAATATAACCATAAAACTATACGAAAATACACCTCAAAGTTGACGTTTTAATCCAAAAACACGGTCGGAGATTTTTTCTCATTTTGCACTACTCGCTGCAGGATTTTTTTTATACTGTGCAACACTGACCACACAGACCCATTCTCTCACATGTGGGCCTACCAGTTTTCTCCCTCTTGATTTGAAGCCGCTAGAATTTTTGATATATATGTGTCTAACACTCTCCATGGGGAAGTGGAACAGAATTCTTCCTCCGTAAGCCATGCGTGTTGTAAGAGGCGACTAAAATGCCGGGAGCAAGGGGCTAGTAACACCTTCTCCTGTATAAATTACTAAATTTAAGAGAAACTTTCGTTTTTCTTTTTGGGCCACCCTGCCTTGGCGGGATACGGCCGGTGTGTTGAAAGATGTGTCTAACACATTGGCTCGTAAGACATATATATACAATTGAAACAGTCAAAGGGTTAATAAGGGATGATGATGATCTCTCTGACCTTGCCTGCTGCAGATCGACGCAGTCTTGCCGGGGAGTCTATGTTACTGGTAACACTGGTGACGCTTGATTGCCGCGGCACCAATGACGAGCTCTGTTAAACGTACCAACATTACCTCTTTCATCATTTATGCTGTGTATTACAAATTATTGCAGATGTAATAGTAATCAAAAATAATAAAAAAAACTTATGTAACATCACATTATACATATTTTATAAACAATAATAAAACATATCTCATGATTTCCTTGTATTTATGTGTGTACTGTACTTGGTAATAAAGATAAACATACTCACATAGCACTGTGCAGCATTACATTTAAACACAGTGTAGCTGGCAGCCTTACAAATTCAACATAATATTAATAGGGCACTGATAATACAATGGCAATAGAAAAAACTGCATAAAAAATAGCAAATACCAAAAAAAATCACCTTACGTAAATATTCACATGCAAAGCTGATTAAAATAAGTATGAAAAAATGAATATTAATGAAGCAAGGTATCTAGCCAGTATCTGCAGGTACATGTATGTCTGTCTAGCAACACAGAGTAACCTCGCCCAAGACTGCACATTCCATGGTATTTCTATTCCACAGGTTTTGAGAGATCAACTAATTCATTCTCCAGGAACTGGTTAATGACAGTCAATATCTGCATATATTTATCTCAGTCAGAATGCTAGTAGTGACTTCTAAATAGAGTAAAAAATGGAAAATTTCTCCTCATTTAGGTCACTCTGCCTTGATGAAAAACATGAAACATATTATAAAAGGTAGATGATTCAAACAAATTTATACATCAACATTATGGTTAGTTAACCAGTGACTGGGGAATCATATGACTTCATTATAACAAAGTCACTCCTATGGCTGGTGCTGAATACGACACGAGACAAAAGTAAAGATATTCTTTTTTTTTTACTAACACATCGGCCGATTCCCACCCATCATCATTCACTCCATCACTTTCTTGCCAGAGGGGTGCTTTACACTACAGTTATAAAATTGCAACAATAACACCCCTCCTTCAGAGTGCAGACACTGTACTTCCCATCTCCAGGACTCAAGTCTGGCCTGCCAGTTTCCCTGAATCCCTTCATAAATGTTACCTCGTTCACACTCCAACAGCACATCAAGTATTAAAAACCATTTGTCTCCATTCACTCCTATCAAATACGCTCACACACGCTTGCTGGAAGTCCAAGCCCCTCGCACACAAAACCTCCTTTACCTCCTCCCTCCAATCCTTCCTAGGCCGACCCCTACCCCGCCCTCCCTCCACTACAGATTTATGCACTCTCGAAGTCATTCTGTTTTGTTCCATTCTCTCTACATATTCGAACCACCTCAACAACCCATCTTCAGCCCTCTGGATAATAGTTTTGGTAATCCTACACCTTCTCCTAATTTCCAAACTATGAATTCTCTGCATTATATTCACACCACACACTGACCTCAGACATGACATGTCCACTGCCTCCAGCCTTCTCCTCGCTGCAACATTCATCACCCATGCTTCACACCCATACAAGAGTTTTGGTACAACTATACTCTCATACATTCCCCTCTTTGCTTACACAGACAATGTTCTTTGTCTCCACAGACTCCTAAGTGCACCACTCACCCTTTTCCCCTCATCAATTCTGTGATTCACCTCATCCTTCATAGACCCATCTGCTGACACGTCCACTCCTAAATATCTGAATACATTCACTTCCTCCATACTCTCTCCCTCCAATCTGATATCCAATCTTTCGTCACCTAATCTTGTTATCCTCATAACCTTACTCTTTCCTATATTCACTTTTAATTTTCTTGTTTTACATACCCTACCAAATTCATCTACCAACCTCTGCAACTTCTCTTCAGAATCTCCCAAAAGCACAGTGTCATCAGCAAAGAGCAACTGTGACAACTCCCACTTTGTGTTTGATTCTTTATCTTTTAACTCCACACCTCGTGCATTCACCTCGCATTCACTTCTCTTACAACCCCATCTATAAATATATTGAACAACCACGGTGACATCACACATCCTTGTCTAAGGCCTACTTTTACTGGGAAATAATCTCCCTCTCCTACATACTCTAACCTGAGCCTCACTATCCTCATAAAAACTCTTCATTTCTTTCACTAACCTACCTCCTTTACCATACACCTGCAACATCTGCCACATTGCCCCCATATCCAGCCTGTCATATGCCTTTTCCAAATCCATAAATGCCACAAAAACCTCTTTACCCTTATCTAAATACTGTTCACTTTTATGTTTCACTGTAAACACTTGGTCTACACACCCCCTACCTTTCCTAAAGCCTCCCTGTTCATCTGCTATCCTACTCTCTGTCTTACTCTTAATTCTTTCAATAATAACTATACCATACATTTTACCAGGTAAACTCAACAGCCTTATTTCCCTATAATTTTTGCACTCTCTTTTATCCCTTTGCCTTTATACAAAGGAACTATGCATGCTCTCTGCCAATCCCTAGGTACCTTACCCTCTTCCATATATTCTTCTTACTGTACTAAAGTATATTATAACGATATAATGGAGCACAAAACCTTGGGGTCAGTTCACTTCATCTAACTCATCAATCTTCCAAGGAACAACTACATTGCATACAAACAGTAGGCATGATCATTTTTTTAAGCTAATTTCACTTAAAACATACAATTAATGTTCTTATTTAACATTTTATGATGATTATTATACTCAACAAACATCACAAGAGCTTTCAACAGTAAAAGATTCCAAATTATCTTAGCTTTATAATTAACTACAATAGTCTGAAAATTACTGATTATATACTAAATATTGAAACTAGAAAACAGACTGTCATTTTCACCTTTACTGCATGAACTCTTGTTACAATGTAGTGAGTTAGACTGGCACTCATCAAGTCCTCAACAGTGGCCTGTCAATATGTTTACCTCCAGGAAAATGAGTGAGACTGCACCTCAGGCAGGATAAATACATGAGCAGCCAAGGTATGCTTAACTGGTGAAGTCCTGAGGTAGGGAAGAGCAATTATCAACTATAATTGACTAGAATATAGCAAAAATCTTTTCCAGTATACTACACAAGCTAGCAAAAACATACTTTCTACATACAGGAAATTACTGTAGTCGAGTTAAGTTTATAGTACCAGAGGTACATGGATTGTGCTTTCTGGGATCAAATGTGCTGAATATATACTATAATAAGAGTATTCTTATATTTCCTCAATAAATTATCTACAAAGGCTGTCAGGTCTCATTTTTATCTAATATATAAAAAAGATTATTTACATGATGACAATAAGTCTAGTAAAACGAGTGAAAGTGTATAAGACAAGGACCTGCAGATAGCCTCATCAAAGATACCTTGCTCTGAGTGTGGACGGTGATGGATGACAGGGGCAGTTTGGGGAGACTCCTGGATCGCTTGATGGGCCACAACTGTAGATGTAGAGGCTTGGGAGGAAGGCTGGGTTTATCATAACCTTCATCTCCTGCAGAGACAAACACTCCTAGTGCAGGTGATGCATTACAGGTCTTCAAGAACCCAGAGTTAGATTTCTGAGTGCTAATACATGGAAAAGGTTGCAATTGGCAATATAAAGTAGACTTGAATGCATCTGAAGGAGCAACATCAACATGCAGGGAATGGGACGATGCTCTACGATGGAAATCAACATCAAGCCCTTCAGAAGAATCACGTAGATGAGGAGGATTGCCATCTCGGTCACATGATTCACTGAAGCTGTGAAGACTTGAAAGTTCAGTGCAGGAGTTTCCACTTGACTCTTGTGAAAGCTTTGACTCTATTTTTAAGGTGCTAATGTTTGTTTTTACTGGTAAAGCTATGTGATCTGGCTGAGAGTCTGTGCTTGTTTCTCCCCTTGCACTAGAAAGTCTTGGAATAACTGTCACTTGAGATATCTGTGATGCCTGAGATTCAAAACTACGATCTCTTGACATGGTGATCGAAGTCTGAGGACTCAGATGAGTTGGTGACTTTCTAAGTTTGGGTCTTACTGACTCATCACCATGAGACTGGCCAGATCTATTGCTGCTAAGGGAATTATTATTTAAACATGATAAAGAAACATGGGGAATAACCTGTAACTTCACTGGCTGATATGGTTGAGTAAAACTGGTTTGAGTTGACGTAGATCTGGCAGTAGGTTTTGTGACAGCCCCCTTAGTCCCACCTCTTCGTATGTGATAGGATGGCTTAAGAAACTTTGGCTTAGGAGGGACCTCTGGTTTCTTGTCTACTCTGAATCTTAAGTAGTCTTTTTTAGATTTGTCCATTACTAATGCTTTGGGACAAACACTTGCCTTCATCCACCAGTGAGCATACAAGCCAGAACGGAACACTGATTCTTCTCTGGGTGGCTCTAAACAACTTGTGCAGCTTAATTCATGTGCAGATGTTGAATGATGCAGTGTAACTGAGTCTATGAGAGAAGAAAGTGAGTCTTCAGTATATGACACAGGGGCAGAAGTATGTGGTGTTGTAGTGGGTGTTAGTAAGAGGCTGTCCGCATCTGCACTACAGTTGGAGGCAAACGGATGACCCTGACATGATGATGTACTTCGAGAAGATTTAACAGTAGAAAACTGTGAAGAGTGTGAACAACGGGATATGCTTGACCCACGCCCCAATCCTGGGGTTTCACTTCTAAGTGGACAACACTCAAGATGATGAATGACATCTGCAAGACCTGAGTCAGAGGACCTGTGGCTGTGAGATTCACAATTACATACTTTGGCAGGATTCTCCACACTATGTACCAGCTGCACATAATGACTTGAAAATTTGGGGGTCCCTGTATGATGTTTAGTTGAAGACATTTTTCGACACAAGTTGGGCTCACTTCGGGACAGAGGTATGGTCATGGGTACTTGCTTTCTATGACTTTCATAATAGTCAATAGTATCTTCACCAGTCTCATCCCCACTACATGAGGACACATAATAAGCAACATCTGGTTTTGTTTTAAAAGGAAATATATTTTTCTGATCTCTTGACTCTGCCAACACTCCATCAAGACCTAACACATCATCTGATGACACTGAACCCTCATATATAGTTCTATCACATATATTTGGTGAACTTACTGTTGATTCATATTCAGATTCAGATGGAAGGTAACTAGGGAGGATTATAGGAGCAGCAGGAATGTTCAGTGTTGATGAATGGATAGTCTTCATTGGAGTATCATAAGCCTCATCAGAGTCACTGTCTGTTCTACCAGGATATACTTCGAAGAATTTGTAAGTGGGTGTAACTATTAAAGAGCCTTGCTTTGTTTGCCCTTGTGTTACATCCATTACTTTGTTTTTAGAATCCTCAGAAATTTGTGTTGAACTGACCTCTTGGCTATTACTGCCTTTATTAACTGGTAAAGGGGACAGAGCAGGCAAGTTTTTGTTTAACAGACAACAGTAAAATTCATCACCTGAGCTCTTCACTTCTCTGTTATAATTAATGAAGTCATCTTGCTGAACACTGCATGGCTTGGTGTAAGTAAAATGCTTTGTACTTTGTTCATAAGGCAGACTTTCCACTTTTAATGAGGTAGCACTGGAGTTATCTGGATTGTAATATCTCACATAACCATATGGATTACTGCCATCAGTGGAAACACCAGATTCTCCAGAAGTAGATAAAGAACTAATAAATCTTTTGTCTGCTATACTTGGTTGACATCTCCATTTGTGAAGATTACTATAGGCAGTGCTAGAAATAATAGGATATTGTTTTTTCTTTGGAATAGGTGAGAGGGCACCAACAGCATCCTCTGGGTCTTCAAGCCAATATCCACCATCATCGGAAGAACTGCTTCTATCACATCTTTCTTCTGGGCAACCTAAGTGTTTTGTCTTTGGGTTCTTAGATTCAGTATCTGACTCATTACCAGATTCATTACCAGTTCTTATTGTACATTCTGTTTTGTGTCTGCGTAACTGAACTGCATGTAATACATTTTCATCTTCTCTGTCTCCAGCTAACTGTCTTAAAAGTTTTTTTGTTATAATTTTCCTTCTGTACATATTGGTAATATATTTTGTCAAGATTGCATAGGGCCTGCTGACATAAAATGAACCACTGGGAAGCACTGGTAAGGTTGGGAACACATGAGATGACATGCTAAATAAGCTACATCCTACAGCAGGTGTTGTGCAATGGCAAGATGTTCTCTGTAGATCACAATAACCATTTCCATCAAAGCTACTGACTTTCACACTAGCACCACATTCACCAGTGGGGTAATAAGGTAACTCACAGGACATGCACACTGAAGGTTGAGACAGACTGTGTGGGACAATAGCACCAGTGTTATTGGGCCAGACACTTACATGAGCTGGGGGTACAGGGGGAGAGGTTAACGAGGATTTATGAGGGGTAAAGTTGGAGGTTCGGACCAAACGACTCTGTTGATTGAGGGCTTCTACCCACTGCAACTGATCTTGTCGGGTCTGGCAGAGAGCTACAACATGCTCTGCTAGTGGACCTGGCAAAATAAAAAACAATTATAATGGAGATATTCATAAAATATAATAACACTTTACTGCCTAATATAACACTCCCTACACTTAGAGCTACTCAATATTAAGAACAACGTATTTAGAAACTGTAATGTAGGAACTGTAATTTAGAAACTGTAATTTAGGAACTGTAAAGTAGATTGTGAGTGTGCAAGTGTTACATCATGATCACCTCCTGGTCCTACTGTACCTGGAACCAGACATATCTCATCATCTCATCAAATTTCTCTGAGTATGAGGAAATAGGAAGGAGATTGTAGTTACTCTTTTCCTACACTGATGATCTCTGTAAGTAGTAGCAAGTTAGTATTCTTACTGACCTACACACCTGTACCCTCTTATATGTCTGCATAAGTTCTAAGAAACTTATGTACACATATACAGTGGACCCCCGCATAACGATGGCATCACATAGCGATTTTTCCGCATACCGATTACTTTTATCGCAAAATTTTTGCCGCGCATACCGATTAAAAACCCGCTTACCGATTTTCGTCCGAGACGCGTCCAATGTGCCCTCAGCCAGCCTCACATGTGCCGGCCGTCCCATTGTTTACCAGCCAGCCTCCGCGGTAACATCCAAGCATACACTCGGAATATTTCGTATTATTACAGTGTTTTCGGTGCTGTTTCTGGAAAATAAGTGACCATGGGCCCCAAGAAAGCTTCTAGTGCCAACCCTGTGGTAAAAAGGGTGAGAATTAGTATGGAAATTAAGAAAGATTTTGAAGGGTTTGGGGCTAACCTGAGAAGCTATGCCAGTTGTGGAATCCATTGTGCCTACTTCAAAGATTAAGGAAATGTGTGCACAGTGGGTTGAACTGCAAACCTTTATAGATGAAAATCACCCTGACACAGCTGTTGCAAGCCGTGCTGGTGACTATTTCAATAACAATGTTGTGGCCCATTTTAGACAAATCGTAAAGGAACGGGAGGTACAGAGCTCTATGGACAGATTTGTTGTGCGACAGAGGTCCAGTGACTCTCAAGCTGGTCCTAGTGGCATTAAAAGAAGAAGGGAAGTAACCCCGGAAAAGGACTTGCTACCTCAAGTCGTAATGGAAGGGGATTCCCCTTCTAAACAGTAAGAAGATAATGCTCTCCCCTCCTCCCATCCCATCAATCATCACCAGATCTTCAATAAAAGTAAGTGTCATTTAATTGTGCATGCCTTTTTCAGTTTGTGTGTATTAAAATTAACATTTCATGTGGTAAAAAAAAATTTTTTTCATACTTTTGGGCGTCTTGCACGGATTAATTTGATTTCCATTATTTCTTATGGGGAAAATTCATTCGCATAACGATTATTTCGCATAACGATGAGCCCTCTTGCACGGATTAAAATCGTTAACCGGGGGTTCACTGTACTATATTTTATGGAATCCAATATGTTATTTTTTACCCAAAATGAGTTTCAAAAATTTACCCAGCATCTTGGAGGTAGAAGGTTACATTGCTCACAGGCCTCAGGCTAAGCCTAGATAAGTGTTTCAATACTAAGCCCCAGTATTTGACCCAGTAATGAATCGTGTAAACTATTTTTACATAAAATAATGAATAAATAACAAAAAAAAAATCATAATTATAAAAATCTGTGGGCGCTGAGCAATGGTAGACTAAGGTGCACCAGGCGATGGAGTAGAATGGTCTATGGGTAGTATCAGTAGGCTAATTCACCTGTTTACCATCAAACCATTGAGAAATAATATTTTTACAAGCCTGAAACAATCCTGATATTAACCCTTTGATGCCATAATACTATGGCATCAAGGTCAGGGTCTGGGCCATAATACTATGGCTTCAAGGTCAGGGTCTGTGCCATAGCACTACGTGATGAGTTCAGCTCACTCAGATAAGCTGCGAGTGATACATTTTAGCCTACATATGAGAGAATGGGTCTGTGTGATGAGTGTGCACCACATAAAAAAATCCTGCCCCATGCAATGGATGATAGAAAAAACAAAACTGTGAATGTATGTATGGATTAAGATGGTAACTTTGCAGTGTATTTTCAAGTGTTTCTATGTTTTTCTCAAGTTCTTCATATTTTGATAGAATGAAGATATATTACAGAAATAACGATGATTTTGATTGGTTTGAGGACTGGAAGTAGCCTGAAATTATGCTGAAAGTAGCAGAAATATATGATTTTTCTCCATATTCCGGAGGACACTAATCACGTTACTTGTCTAATATGTACCCAAATGGCTGTCTATGTGTGTTCACTAATACACTAACATTATTTATATGATTACTATAACAATAATGCAGATGTCTAACAGTAAATCTACTAATTATTAAATAGTAAAATCAATAAAAATAAAAACATAAACATGAAACATTTTTAAAAAACATCACAAATCAATATGCAGTCGAAGCTGTAGACATGTCCACTTACATGAATTATGACCACTAGTGAGTAGAAAAAGAACACTGTCAATCACAACAAGAAACAGTTACACACACTGAGGAAGAGATGGTTGATAAGGATGTAGCAGATCTAGAACAATCTCCGATATACTGGCGAGTGAGAGCAATGCATAAAGTATTAGCAGATTTTTTAACATGTGCAAACTTAGCTCACATCAATCTTTTTTCCAAAATTTAGTCAGTCAGAGCTGTGAGGTGTCCTAGACACCAGAGCAGCTTCTTTGTCATAAAACACAGTATGTCATGCTATATTTAATGTTTTAGGAGTAATAGTACACCATGAGTGCAGTAATGTACAGTACTGACAACAGTATGCCAAGAGTGCAGTAATGTACAGTACTGACAACAGTATGCCAAGAGTGCAGTAATGTACAGTACTGACAACAGTATGCCAAGAGTGCAGTAATGTACAGTACTGACAACAGTATGCCAAGAGTGCAGTAATGTACAGTACTGACAACAGTATGCCAAGAGTGCAGTAATGTACAGTACTGACAACAGTATGCCAAGAGTGCAGTAATGTACAGTACTGACAACAGTATGCCAAGAGTGCAGTAATGTACAGTACTGACAACAGTATACCATGAGTGCAGTAATGTACAGTACTGACAACAGTATGCCATGAAGGCAGTAATGTACAGTACTGACAACAGTATGCCATGAAGGCAGTAATGTACAGTACTGACAACAGTATACCGTGAGTGCAGTAATGTACAGTACTGACAACAGTATGCCATGAAGGCAGTAATGTACAGTACTGACAACAGTATACCATGAGTGCAGTAATGTACAGTACTGACAACAGTATGCCATGAGTGCAGTAATGTACAGTACTGACAACAGTATACCATGAGTGCAGTAATGTACAGTACTGACAACAGTATGCCATGAAGGCAGTAATGTACAGTACTGACAACAGTATACCGTGAGTGCAGTAATGTACAGTACTGACAACAGTATGCCATGAAGGCAGTAATGTACAGTACTGACAACAGTATACCATGAGTGCAGTAATGTACAGTACTGACAACAGTATGCCATGAGTGCAGTAATGTACAGTACTGACAACAGTATACCATGAGTGCAGTAATGTACAGTACTGACAACAGTATGCCATGAAGGCAGTAATGTACAATACTGACAACAGTATGCCAAGAGTGCAGTAATGTACAGTACTGACAACAGTATGCCATGAAGGCAGTAATGTACAGTACTGACAACAGTATACCGTGAGTGCAGTAATGTACAGTACTGACAACAGTATGCCATGAAGGCAGTAATGTACAGTACTGACAACAGTATACCATGAGTGCAGTAATGTACAGTACTGACAACAGTATGCCATGAGTGCAGTAATGTACAGTACTGACAACAGTATACCATGAGTGCAGTAATGTACAGTACTGACAACAGTATGCCATGAAGGCAGTAATGTACAGTACTGACAACAGTATGCCATGAATGCAGTAATGTACAGTACTGATAACAGTATGCCATGAAGGCAGTAATGTACAGTACTGACAACAGTATACCATGAGTGCAGTAATGTACAGTACTGACAACAGTACACCATGAGTGCAGTAATATACAGTACTGACAACAGTACACCATGAGTGCAGTAATGTACAGTACTGACAACAGCATACCATGAGTGCAGCAATGTACAGCACTGACAACAGTATACCATGAGTGCAGTAATCTACAGTACTGACAACAGTATACCATGAGTGCAGTAATGTACAGTACTGACAACAGTATACCATAAGTGCAGTAATGTACAGTACTAACAACAGTATGCCATGAGTGCAGTAATGTACAGTACTGACAACAGTATACCATGAGTGCAGTAATGTACAGTACTGACAACAGTATGCCATGAATACAGTAATGAACAGTATTGACAACAGTATGCCATGAGTTCAGTAATGTACAGTACTGACAACAGTATGCCATGAATCAGTAATGTACAGTACTGACAACAGTATAGCCATGAAACAGTAATGACAGTACTGACAACAGTATGCCATGAGTGCAGTAATGCACAGTGCTGACAACAGTATACCATGAAGTGCAGTAATGTACATACTGACAACAGTATCCATGAGTTCAGTAATGTACAGTACTGACAACAGTATGCCATAATTCAGTAATGTACAGTACTGACAACAGTATGCCATGAGGGCAGTAATGACAGGTACTGACAACAGTATACCATGAGAACAGTAATGTACAGTACTGACAACAGTATCCATGAGTGCAGTAATGTACAGTACTGACAACAGTATGTCATGAATGCAGTAATGTACAGTACTGACAACAGTATGCCATGAGTGCAGTAATGTACAGTACTGACAACAGTATGCCATGATGCAGTAATGAACAGTACTGACAACAGTATGCCATGAGTGCAGTAATGTACAGTACTGACAACAGTATGCCATGAGTGCAGTAATGTACAGTACTGACAACAGTATGCCATGAAGTGCAGTAATGAACAGTACAGACAACAGTATGCCATGAGTGCAGTAATGTACAGTAGCTGACAACAGTATACCGTGAGTGCAGTAATGTACAGTACTGACAACAGTATGCCATGAGTGCAGTAATGTACAGTACTGACAACAGTATGCCGTGAGTGCAGAAATGTACAGTACTGACAACAGTATACCATGAGTGCAGTAATGTACAGCACTGACAACAGTATGCCATGAGTGCAGTAATGTACAGTACTGACAACAGTATGCCATGAGTGCAGTAATGTACAGTACTGACAACAGCATGCCATGAGTGCAGTAATGTACAGTACTGACAACAGTATACCATGAAGGCAGTAATGTACAGTACTGACAACAGTATGCCATGAAGGCAGTAATGTACAGTACTGACAACAGTATGCCATGAAGGCAGTAATGTACAGTACTGACAACAGTATACCATGAGTGCAGTAATGTACAGTACTGACAACAGTATGCCATAAATGCAGTAATGTACAGTACTGACAACAGTATGCCATGAAGGCAGTAATGTACAGGACTGACAACAGTATACCATGAAAACAGTAATGCACAGTACTAACAACAGAATACCATGAGTGCAGTAATGTACAGTACTGACAACAGTATGCCATAAATGCAGTAATGTACAGTACTGACAACAGTATACCATGAAAACAGTAATGCACAGTACTAACAACAGAATATCATGAGTGCAGCAATGTACAGTACTGACAACAGTATGCCATGAAAACAGTAATGCACAGTACTAACAACAGAATACCATGAGTGCAGTAATGTACAGTACTGACAACAGTATGCCATAAATGCAGTAATGTACAGTACTGACAACAGTATGCCATGAAACAGTAATGCACAGTACTAACAACAGAATATCATGAGTGCAGCAATGTACAGTACTGACAACAGTATGCCATGAAGGCAGTAATGTACAGGACTGACAACAGTATACCATGAAAACAGTAATGCACAGTACTAACAACAGAATACCATGAGTGCAGTAATGTACAGTACTGACAACAGTATGCCATAAATGCAGTAATGTACAGTACTGACAACAGTATGCCATGAAAACAGTAATGCACAGTACTAACAACAGAATATCATGAGTGCAGCAATGTACAGTACTGACAACAGTATGCCATGAATACAGTAATGAACAGTATTGACAACAGTATGCCATGAGTGCAGTAATGTACAGTACTGACAATAGTATGCCATGAATACAGTAATGAACAGTATTGACAACAGTATGCCATGAGTTCAGTAATGTACAGTACTGACAACAGTATGCCATGAATACAGTAATGTACAGTACTGACAACAGTATGCCATGAATACAGTAATGAACAGTACAGACAACAGTATGCCATGAGTGCAGTAATGCACAGTGCTGACAACAGTATACCATGAGTGCAGTAATGTACAGTACTGACAACAGTATGCCATGAGTTCAGTAATGTACAGTACTGACAACAGTATGCCATGAG